GGCTTGCTGCGTGTTGGAAGCTATATTGCGCCATCGTGGTGCAACATTGTGAAGCAGGAGCTACGTGGTGCGAGCTATGCGGTGCAAGCCCAGCGATATGATATAACGCATGTGCAGACCTGGTGTAATCTATGCAGCACACTCTGGTTTTCGCCACATGTATGGTTCAATATATGTGAGTGTGCAAAATCATACGACCAACCTTTAAAATGAACTGACATCATAAAAACAACAATGATAGCCATTCTGGCTGAGAAAATAAGAGTGCGGCTATTTTAGTAGCCGCGCGACTTTGCAGCTAGAAAATAGCCGCATCGGACCTCAGGGTCAAGCACCGTTTGCCGGGGCAGGGCATTGCATGCATTAGTAGCATCGAAAGCAAGGACGGCGGCCCCCGGCATCGCTTCGGCCAAAGCGGTGACACATCTGTGGATCCGCTCGCAGCCCGCCCTCGTGCCGACCGCGAACTGGTGGAGACCGCTGGCGTCTTTTAGCTCCTCCTTGAAGACCTCGCAAGCCGCCTTCGCCGCCAGCCTTCGGAAGACGCTACCGCATGCCACTGGCCGCAGTTTCCCGCTTTTCTTCCGCAGCGCCACCGGCCGAGCCCCCAAGTTGGCCGCGATGAAATCACCGGGGAGGGCGCCGAGGAGGAAGGCCACAGCCACCCGGCAGTTCGCCTCGATCGCGGTCGAATCGGCAAGGAGAGTCTTCCAGTGCTCGAAGCTGGAACCGTTGGGGCCCGGGCCAGACCTCCGCGGGACTTGCTCGATGGCCTTGCGCACCGCGTGCAGGAGCTTTGCCGTGGTCTCGTCGTCGGGAAGCTGCGCTGCGGCTGCGGTGGCCCCCGCGCCCGGGGGGAAATGGTTCTGGAGCTCGCCGCGGGCGCTGGCTTCAGTGACCACCGCGGCGGAGCGAGTCAACAACGACATGGCCTTGGAAACCAATCCCTCTGGGAGGAAGGTCTCCACGCTCTTCGCGGTGTCCCGTCGTCGGCTGGCGCCCCGTCGTCTGGCTGCAGCAGCCCCAGCAGCGGCGGTAGCGGCCGCCTCGCGCCGCAGAGCCCCCCAGTCTCCGCGCCGAGCAATGCGGATCCGTCGCGTGAGGATTTTGGAAAGCCCGCCGCTGTTCTTAGCACGCCGCCCTCCGCGGACCCGGGCCGGTGTGAAGAGGATCGCCCTGTCGAAGAAGGTCGGCAGTTTGCCCGCCCTGCTGGCTGCGGCGGGGCCCCCAGCCCGCTGCGCGTCGAGGAAGGCGGCGGCGGCGGCGGCGGCCCCCCGGAGCACGGCGAGGGAGTGCGCGAGGGGCTCAGGGACCGACCCGACGGCGCGGACGTCCACCCCCAGGTCGTTGCACGACACCCCGTCCCACCAGTCCAGATTGAGGAGCGTCTGCGCCGGGGCCCCATCGGCGTCGACGCCGGGCGGCCGAGCGTCTGCGTCATCGTCGGCGTCGTCATCGTCACGTGGGGCCCTGCGGCCAGGCGCCTGCGCCTGGTCGGCTGCGCGGCGGCGCAGGCGTCCGGCGCGTGAGTCGGCGAGGTGTTCCGCCCGTGTAGGACGCCCTGGTCGGTCGCAAAAGTGGTGTAGCTCCGCCTGGGCCTCCGGCGAGAGGGAGGCGCTACCCTGAACCAAGTCAAAGGGGCCGAGCCCGCCCTCCACGCAACTGAGGCAGAGATAGTTCCTGTGGGCCAGGCTGCGGGACGCACGGTACACCCGCAGGTCGCCTTTGAAGAAAGGCCTGCGGCAGGCACTGGCCTGGCACGCGCAGGAGCGGCGGCGCGGCATAACGCCCACTGCCCACTCGGACTCTGCTGCTTGACCCGGGGCTGGCGCCAGAGGCTGCGCTGCGGGAGGGCCCGCCGGGGGTGCGGCAGGGGCAGGAACGCCTGGCGGCGGGGCGGCTGCGCCTGCTGGATGGGCCGGAACTGCGGGACCAGCGGGGAAGGCGGGCGCAGCAATGGCCCGAGCCAACAAGACAGCATGGCTGGCGAAGGCCATCTTCGAAGACAACCTGGAGTAGCCACCGGGGCTGAGAGCGACCGTGAAGGCGGCGGTGAGCGCCTCGCAGAGCGGTCGATTGAAGTGCACGTCGGAGGCCACAGCGTACATGCACAGGCAGGCTGCGGTTCGCTGCACGGGGCCTCCATGGACCACCGCTCCCCAATACGGGAAGTGCAGATGAGTGGGCCCGATGCACGCCGCCGCGAGGATGAACGCAGGGTGGGGTGGCCCGTGGAGCAAGGGGCCGAAGACAGCATGTCCCCCTTGGGCGAGGGAGAGGCTGCCCAGCACTGGAAGGATGTGGAGCGACACCATCACGAGCAGACGCGGCAGTATGCTGAGCGCGCTGTGGACCATGTCGAGCGCTGGGGACAGCGCGGCTGGCGCTGGGGGCCAAGGCGCGTAGGCCTTGGGACAGGCCAGCGGGCAAGAAGATGTTCGTGAAGCCCCCCTGGGCGAAGACGCACAGCTCCGGATGTGAAACAAAAAGAAGAGCTCGGCCGAGGAGACGAGGTGACCCTGGCCAGCACAGTCGAGGCTGCGAGTCGTCGGCCTCGTGCCCCCTAACGTTGTGCTGCTCGTGGTTCTGGTTGTGCTGCTCGCTGCTGCTGGTTGTTCTGGTTGTGCTGTTCGTGGTTCTGGTTGTGCTTCTGGGTGTTCTGTCGCGCTGCTCCGGGTCGGGCTGCTCTCTGCCGTGCTGCTGGGACCACTCCCGGATGTCAACGTTCAACGGCTGCTGCTCTCTCACAGAGGCCTTATAAGTACATTAATATAATCTTATAAATCTAAGACTATTTTAGCATGTCCCCACCTGTCCAGATGAAAGGAAATACACTTGTAAGTTTAACATGTTTGGAAATACACTTGGGTTTCACTTCGCACTTGAAATGCACTTGAATGCGCCTGGGACCCCCGACGGGGACGGAGGATTGTGATGGTCGGGGGCTGTCTAGATTCGCCGTAGGATGCCCAAGGCCCTTGCATCCTTATCGCGCTTCCTTATTATCCGCTTTGACTGTATAGCATCCTCCTCATACCCATTGTTCACCTCATCCTCCTCCGTATCCAGTTGGGTTCAAACTCGTTTCTGGTTGCCAACTATGGCAAAGCGTGGGCCCGCTTGGGCAGGCGATGTTGCTGCGTTGTCTGATGCCGTGGCCCGACACATCACAAAGCCCAACTCCGTACCAACGTACCCAGAGAAAGCGTCAGATGAGTCCGACCCCAAAAAGATCATGAAGGTGAAGCCACTCATGAGGGACTTGAGTAAGTTGTCGCCCAGGCTGACCTACAAAAGTACGGACCTCACTGAGGCGGTCGGCACCGCCTACAACAGGAACGTCTCCGACTGGGGCTTGGACGACACCCAGGTCAAGGGCGAGAAGGGCTGGATCAATGTCACTGCGAGGCGGCTTCGCACCATGTGCAAGCACGCGTCCAAGGCGGCAGGCGCCGTCCAGCCTGCCAGGTGGGCCACTCGGCTCTTCGGGGGCGACGCCAAGGGCGACGGCGAGATGGGCCTCGAGGGCGGGGCGGAGGCAGGCGAGCAGAAGGCCGCCAAGAAGAAGAAGAAGCTACAGCGCCGCAAAGCGAAGACAGCAAATAAGAAAGCGACCGCGCTTCCGACTGCGAGCGCTCCGTCACCTGTTGGCCCAAGTGCTGCGGGGAGTACGACGTGGGTGTTTGGATGGCGGCCGACCCTCATGAAGGCCTGGCGCAGGAAATCATTGGGGAACTGTCCGTGCGAGTACACTGACGAGCTCATCACCAGCGAAGTCGGCACTGGCTTTATCAAAGCGAAGTGGGGCGACGACGCGTTCCCGATTACAGAGTGCACCGTTGACGAGTACTGGGCGGACCACCAGAAAGCCAAGGCCAAGAAAACCAAAGAGAACAAGAAATTTTAGATTGTGAGTTCGAGGGCTACGACCTCACGCTCACGAAGAAAATGTGCAAGGGCACCACGTACGTCATCATGGCCCACTGGAAGAAACCAGACGAGGGCAAGGAGTTGACGCCAGGCTCGCCTGGAAAACAGCTGTTCCAAATTATCGTCGGGAGCGCCGCCGCCGCGGACTTCGAGGAGAAGAAGAACACGGCGGTGCAGTCGACGAAGGACTTGCTGCAGACCTTCATGGATGGCAAGATTAAGATCTCAGACCTCAAGCCTGCAGCTCGCAAAATCAAGGAGTCGCTTGACTCGGAGTCGGAGGCCAAGGCCACTGGTGCCGAAGCGTCGGCGGACCTCGGCGAGATCGAATGCGGGGGCGATGAGGAGGAGTACGAGGACGAGTTCGACGAGAACTCGGCGCGCGCTGATGACGAGGAATGTGAAGAAGAAAAAGGTCTCGGTGATGACAGCGGAGACCGTGCGACCGATGAGGCAGGCGAGTTCCAGGAGTACGACTCGGGCCTCGATTGCGATAGTGATTGAGGCACCTGCCCACGCGATTACGAGCTCCCGATAGTTTGTTCGGCGGCCGACGTTGTCGACCGCGGAAGTCGAGAATGAGAGAAACATTCAGTACATCTCAACGGGTAGATGCACTCCCGAATCCATATCATGATGGGACTCTCAAACAATCGTTGGATGATGTCCCATCGCATCGCTTCGGCTCTTGCGGTGGGGCTCTCCTCCTCCTCCTCATCCTCCTCCTCATCATCATCATCAACATCATCAACATCATCAGCATCAACATCATCATCATCATCATCATCAGCATCATCATCATCATCAGCAGCAGCATCATCATCCTCGCGGGTCATGCTCTTCCTCCTCCTCTGGGGCCCTCTGGGTCAGCGGTGGGCTCTGCAGACCCTGCGGGGGGGGGGGCACAGTGGGCTCCCCTCCAGCTCTGGTCGGGGGAAGCAAGAATATAATCAGGAATATTGGGCCTGTGCATGTTTTGAATATGGTATCCGAGCTCATCGTAGCCCATTTTGGATCAAGTACCTCTGCTTCGCGCTCAAGCGAGGCTGTTCCCTTGTGTTTTTTTCACCATGGACGCGTCCGCGATGGGAGTCCAGGTCCCCAAGAAGAGGAGGAAGAACACGAATGTCTCTCGCAGATCCGACCTCGACGCGTTCGAAGCCGAGTCAGCCGACTTCGCCAAGACGGCGCGCCAACACGAGAAGGGCCTTGGGCCGCTTTCCGTGCCAACTGAGATCTCAATTGGGAAGAGGTTCCAGGCACTTGGAGCACACGAGAGCACGGAGTCGTGCGCGGCCTCCGCGGCGAGCACGCCAGCACCGTTCCAGGGCATGGTCGTCGAAAGCTACTCTGACGAGACGGCGGCGGAGGCAGAGAAGCGCGTGCTGGCGCAGTATGACCTGAAGAAAAGCACACCGCAAGCTGCGTCGGCCGAGTTGCCGCTTGAGATCGTGGAGATGTAACAGACCCTGGACTCTGTTGGTGGTAAATTCGATCTGCGATCGAAGATTGGTGCGGCGTGGGCCTACGAGAAGTCCTGCAATCCAGACCTCAAGAAGCGGTACGAGAAGGTGGGCACCAAGAGGGACGCCCAGCAGTCCGTTCGCAGAGAATGGCTGCAGAACAGGATCGGGGCGAAATTGAAGGAGCACAACGAGAAGAACACGACGTACGAGGAGCTCGACGCGTGCATTGGCAAATACAAATCCCTCACGAAGATGTGGAAGGACGAATGCGGTACCAAGGCTGCCTGGTGCATCGCCCAGAACGTAGCGGAGACGAACTTTCGGCTGTACACGGATGGCCACACCGTCAACGGCCACCCCTACATCAAGTACAATACCCAGAAGAATATCGTGCAATTCCTGGAGCTCTCCGAGGAGGTAGGCCGCAAGCACACGACCGCCTGGAGCAGTATCAAGCAGTACGGTGGCAAGGACGGAGCTGACGAAGATGACCGCCGTGGCAAAGAGGGGGCGAATCGCCCGCTCAAGAGGCCTGCAGCCGCGCTGACTACGACGCCAGATGCAAAGCAGATGGGCGCTAGCATCAAGAAGGCAATGCAGCTGTTCTCACATGCCACCACTACGAAGATCAACTGCGGCGCGATCGAGCACGCCATCAAGACGGATCCTGCATGGGTGCGGTTCAACACGGAGACAGCTACACAACCCTTGCTTGCGGAGAAGGCCAAGCTGGAGGCGGCCCTGCAGGATCCCCTGTGGAAGCAGATGAGCAAGAACTCGACGAAGGAGTTCCCAGCCTTTGCGAAGAAGACCTGGACCTCGAAAGAGATCGACAAGATGATAAAGGGATCGGGGCTCGAGAGTGCGACATCAAATTTAGCGCAGGAGATCGAGATGCTTCAGGCCCAGAAAGCCATCAGGGACAAGAAAGCGCAACAATCGTGAGGCGTCCCACTGATGCTTCACCCGCTGCCCGTCAACCCTCCTCCTCCTCCTCCTCCTACTCCGTGTGTCCAAATGGTCCCTCCTACTCCTCCTCCTCCTCCTCCTCCTCCGCCTCCTCCTCCTCACCTCCTCCTTCTCGTGGGCAATGGGGCACTCTCGAGCCCAACGGACGATGCTTCGAAGGTTTATCAAGCATGATTCGGAGGTTCAGCAGACCTGACGTGTTATGAAGTTTATTGCTATGAAGTTTTATGAAGTTATGTGAAGTATTATGAAATTGATGTTTTGTACTGTGTTTTCACAGGTTTGGTGAGCGTCTGAGATTTCATGAAGTTGCGGTGTTGATTGCTGAAGTTTGAACTTCAGTACTGAAGTTGGTGTGAAGTTCCATGAAGTTTTGTGACGTTCTCTGAAGATCGTTTGGGCTCGAAATCGTGGTTCGTGTGGGCTTCAGACCTAAGTTTGCGCTCAGTGGGCAGCGGTTTCGTGGTAATGCATTGGGCTGCAGTCCCGCAGCCGATCAGTTGCACAGCATATACGCCGAACAAACTCTGCAAACAAGAAAAACACGTTACCTCCTGGGGGGGCGCATAGTTTGAACAAGCAAGGCGCAGGAGCAGGAGGAGGAGGAGGCGGAGGGGGAAGACGTGGAGGAGGAAAAGGAGGAGGATAACGTGGCTTGAAAAGAAAAACCTGTTGCCAGGAAGAGGAGGATGATAACATCGCTGGAGAGGACGATCAAGCTGCTGCCAGAAGGCCTGTAAAGCTTTTGTTCCTAGATTGCGCCACACAGATTGCATCACGCATTGCGCATCGCGAATGCAATGACCTACCGTTTGGGGCCCACGCTGACACACATAAACATGCTTAGACGGGACAACAGATACGGAAAACGGAAACCGACCACTTTGGGACGAAAATGGTCGGTTTTGTTATGTGGCCAGACGACACCCATCCGCCCTAACAGCACGCACGTGCAAGCACTGATTATGGGTGTGCGGAGCGCATGAATTGTTCCAGGGAGCGGGGCACGTAAGACACCACTGCCAATAATAATACATCCATTGCGGAATAATGAGGGTGAGGAGGAGGAGGGAGGAGGGAGGAATGAGGAGGAGGAGGAGGAGGGAGGAGGGAGGAGGCAGGAGGGAGGATCGAGGAAGCGTGAGGGGAGGGGGTCGGAACCCCTTCTGCGGACTCGCCGCCTGTCCTACACAACATGTAAACGTATTTGCTCAGGCCATTTTGGCTCAGACATCTGGCGACCATGGGTCGCAAAACAAAGCGGCCGCGCCCCGAGCTGCCGCCATATCCATGGGGAGCTGCCGAGAGTATGCCATGGGACTGCTGTGATGATTCAGGCTCACTGGAAAACCCTAGACATGAACTGAAAGAGTATTTGATCCACCTCAAGGCTACAGGGATCCTGACAACGAAGCAAGCATGCCTGATCGCTCATTTCTCATCGCGTGCTGGCGCAAACGGAATCGCCGACTTGGGCTACCCCCCTGGACGGCAGACAGGGAAGTACAGCGACCACTGGGACAGAGTGCTTGGCACGTCGCCCTGGGACGAGGCATACTACGATGTGGAATTGCAATGCTGGCACAGGGCGGACGCGACCACGGAAGTAAAAGCTCTGCCTGCAGTTCCACCGCACCCAGCTCTTCTGGAAGAACTCGTTCGCTCAAGTCCAGATCTTCAGAAACAGTTGGGCGACCCGATCACATCAGGTAATCTAGGGCAAACTTACGCTCAGCATCCAGTTGTGCAGGCGCGCTTGCCTGGTGAATGCGTTCTCATTTTCGCCATTTACGTTGACGGGATCAGCTTCACAAAACGAGATTCGATTCCGGGCATATTTCTTCACAACTCGGCTAGTGGAATTCGCCATCTAGTGACGCCTCTTCGAAGTTCGGAGATGTGTGGCTGCGGCTGTCGCGGATGGTGCAGCGTGTTTCCCATGTGGCTTATGATTGCATGGTCCATCGGTTATCTAGCTGAGGGCCTTCACCCAACGGCTCGCGAGGGTGGCTTCCCATGGAGAGATGGAGGTGACGACGTGCGGAGTCACGCAGGGCAGGCGCTCGGATTCAAAGCCGTCTGCCGTTTCATCAAAAACGACCTCAAAGAACTCGCATCCAGCTTGGGCTTGCCAGCTGCAGGGTGCAATTCGGCACCATGCGCCTTGTGTTGCGCCCCTAAAGGAGAATGGTCTGATGTCAACGGGTTGACTGCAGAAGGGACAGGCTGGAGGCCCCACGACCTGGCCGAATAGTTGACCTCCGTGCGAAAGTGCGAAATCATTTACACTGGTGAAGCAGGTTTTGTATTCTGACATTCGCCCGTGGGGCAACAGAGGGAAGTGCCTAATTCGTGATGTCCCTCATCTGCTCCTGAAAAAGGCGATAGGCTCGAACCGATTGCTACCCTCCCGTACACGGACATGTTCGACTCGTTGCGACCTCGGCCAGGCGAGACACTGAGCGTTGTTTTCTGGAGGCGCTCGGAAGAGACGAGAGCAAGACATCGCAACCCATTATTTTCCGAAGCAACGTTCATGTGTCCATCTGGGTCCTTAGCCATTGACTGGCTTCATTGCCTATCCCTCGGGGTGTTCGCATATTGGATCAATATTGCGCGTTGGGAACTAATCGATTGCAACACGTGCACCTGCAGTGGCACCACTAAGGATGACATCGTCGGATGCACGCTAGGGATCATGCGATCAAAGATGGTCCAATGGAGAAATTCAGAGGCCAAAGCAGGCAAGGAACATACATTACCAACTGACGTTACTGTTGGCATGCTGGGGAAACGGACGGTTCCGTCCAGCCTTGAAGGCGCAGAGGCCAATAGTGTTCTGACGCTCCTCGTGACACATGTTCTGGAAAGAAGGAAGGCGGTGTTCAATGGAGAGAGATGGTCGAACATCGTTGGCGCAAGTAAAAATCTGTATGTTATGCTTGAAATGCTCAGGACGTTCAAAGGGGCAGCCCCGAGGCACGCCATCGATGACTTTGTTCCTCTGGTTAAATCATTTGAAAGACATGCAAACCATATTGGCATGCAATTCATTCCCAAAATACATTACACATGGCACATTGCGACGCAAAACATCCGTTTAGGCTCACTGTCCGCTGCTGCCAACTGGAGGGATCAGCAGATCAATGGGTACTTTAACGCAGTAGCCATGGCTGCTCACAGAATGGTCTGGCACCGACGGGTGCTGGGGGAGTTTCGCAGGGCGTTCGGCGTGGCAAAGACCTGGTGCACCACGCGTTTCAAATTAGCTACATATACATAATATGCAGCATGCCATCCACATGATCATGAAAACACGCTGACGTTGCCACGTTTTGATTGGTTGGGCATCGTTTCTCTTCGGTGCAGTGGAGTCGCCTTCCCCGCAATATTTCGTGCTGCCGCCATCCGCCGTCCTGCGCGCTGGTGTCGCCTCGTCTTGTCGGGTAGGGTTTCGTTTCGCTTTGGGGCCCTTGACGGCCCCCCCCCCTCGCCTCGAGCCAGCAAGGGCCTGAGCCAGATTTGGCTGGAGCTGGCCAAGAGGAGGAGGAGGAGGAGAAGGAATGTGGGGACTTGGGGGAGGAGGAGGGGGAGGAGGAGGGAGGAGGAGGGGGACTTGGAGGAGGGGAAGGAGGAGGGAGCAGGAGGAGGGGAGGAGAAGGAGGTAGGCCAAGAGGCCCCAAAGATCGCCCCAAGAGTACCCCAGGCGGCAAGTTCGAGCGACAACATTCGGTATCGCATAGAAGGGGGGGGAAGATCGTCCCAAGACGGCCCCAGAAGCCCCCAGGAGGGCCCCAAGACGGCCTAAGGGAGCCACAGAACGGCACAAGAGAGCTCTAAGACGACCGAAGAAGGCCCCAAGAGGCCCCCAAGAGGCCCCCAAGAGGCTTCCAAGAGAGCCCCAAGAGGACCCCAACAGCCCCAAGAGGACCCCAACAGCTGCCGTACACGATCGACTGTTTCCTATCTCCCGCGTCCCTGTTGGAACGCGGAATTAACGAACGCGCGCGATGGCGACGGCGCGCTGTAAAGTTGATGCCATGCAGCCGACCTTTCGAAAAATACACTTCCGAAGATACACTTCCGAAAATACACTTGGCCACAAACACCTTTCGAAAATGCACTTGGCTACGCACAGATTAAGAAAATAGCCTTGGACATTCTACATGTAATTTTAGACGTGAAAAAACTCCGGGGGGGAAAAAATAGACTTCGTAGACCTCTGTGCTGTCGTGTTGCTCCGGGTCGCGCTGCCCCCTGCCGTGCTTCTGGGGCCACTCGCGGATGTCAGCGTCCAAGGGCTGTTGGTTTCTGTCGTGCTGCTCTGGGTCGTGCTGCTCTGTGCCGTGCTGCTGGCTGGGACCACTCGCGGGTGTCCACGTCCGAGGGTTGCTGATTTTTGTCGTGCTGCTCCGGGTCGTGCTGCTCTTTGCCGTGCTGCTTGGACCACTCGCGGACGTCGACGTCCAAGGGCTGCTGCTCCGCGTCGCGCTGCTCTCTGCCGTGCTGCTGGGGCCACTCGCGGATGTCGGCGTCCAGGGGGTTGCTGCTCCCTGTCGTGCTGCTCCGGGTCGCGCTGCTCTCTGCCGTGTTGCTGGGGCCACTCGTGGATGTCAACGTCCAAGGGCTGCTGCTCTCTGTCGTGCTGCTCCGGGTTGACCTGCTCTCTGCCGTGCTGCTGGGGCCACTCGCGGACGTCGACGTCCAAGGGTTGCTGCTCTCTGTCGTGCTGCTCCGGGTCGTGCTGCTCTCTGCCATGCTGCCGGGGCAACTCGCGGATGTCCGCGCCCAAGGGCTGCTGCTCTCTGTCGTGTTGCTCCGGGTCGCGCTGCTCTCTGCCATGCTGTTGGGGCCACTCGCGGATGTCGACGTCCAAGGGCTGCTGCTCTCTGTCGCGCTGCCCCGGGACATGCTGCTGGGGCCCCTCGCGGATGTTGACGTCCAATGGCTGTTGCTCCCTGTCGCGCTGCTCCGGGTCGCGCTGCTCTCTGCCGTGCTGCTGGGGCCACTCGCGGATGTCCGCGTCCAAAGGCTGCTGCTCTCTGTCGCGCTGCTCCGGGTCGTGCTGCTCTCTGCTGCGCTTCTGGGGCCACTCGCGGATGTCGACGTCCAAGGGCTGCAGCTCTCTGTCGCGCTGCTCCGGGTCGCGCCGCTCTCTGCCGCGCTGCTGGGGCCACTCGCGGATGTCAGCGTCCACGGGCTGCTGCTGCTATCTGTCGCGCTGATCCGGGTCGTTCTGCTCTTTGCCGTGCTGCTGGTACCACTCGCGGATGTCGACGTCCAAGGGCAGCTGCTCTCTGTCGTGCTGCCCCGGGTCGCGCTGCCCTCCGCCGCTCTCATCTCTCTTTCTTTTTTTTTTTTTTCTCTTTCTCTCTCTCTCTCTCTCTTTTTTTTTCTCTCTCTCTCTCTCTCTCTCTCTCTATATATATATATATGTATATATATATGTCATCTCTCTCTCATTATCTCGTATTCTTTTTCTTTTTTTTTCTCTCTCTCTCTCTCTCTCTCTCCCTCTCACTCTCCCTCTCTCTCTCTCTCCCTCTCTCTCTATTATCTCTCTCTATTATCTCTCTCTCTCTCTCTCTCTCTCTCTCTCTCTCTCCCTCTCCCTCTCACTCTCCCTCTCTCTCTCTCTCTTTCTCTCTCTCTCTCTCTCTCTCTCTCTCTCTCTCTCTAGTCTCGGCTCGAGAGTGCCCTGCACTCAGACCGCAGCCGCGACGCGAAGCGCCCCGCCTCGGAGTCAGACTCCCAGGCCTCGCGAGACCGGAGGGGTCCCAGCAGGACCCTACTGATTCGCGTCACCTCTCTCCCCACCAGAGCGCCCGCCGCAATGGCCCCCGGCAAGCCGGAGCGCCGTCGCTCTTCCAAGCAGCCGCCGAGCTCACGTCCTGCTGCTGAAGGGTCTCTCCTCCAACGCAAGCAGGACTGCATTGCAGCTTTCAAGCAAGCGGGGTCTGACCGCCCCACGGCCGCATACAACGGGCTCGCCGAGCTGAACGCGGACGAGCTGCAGGCCACGTACGACATGCACAAGACCAACACAAAGAAGCTCGGCAGTGCCTTGATCCGCATGTGTGCCGCCAACCAGATCAGCTACACGCTGGATCACCACCAGCGCAGCAAGCCTAAGCGCATTGGTGGTGACACATCACACCCACCAGCTGCGTCCGCACGTCTTCAGGCTGCGGACGCCCAATTCATTGCCTTGGACCCGGCCTTCTGGAAGGTCCCAGTCCTGGCCGAACCCACATCACTTGACGACGGCAAGACGTACAAGCCCAGTATCAGCCTCCACGACTACGAGAGCGGTGAACGGCTGCTGCAACACCACCTCGAGCAGGGTAAGCGTACCACGGGTCAGCTTGCGATTGCTGTCATGGGCCCAAAAAACGATAACTACGTCGGTACCGAGCTCGCCGTCCCCGTGCTGAAGCGTCACCCCAAGGCGCCCAAAGTGGTCCACACGCACGTCCCCGTGACCGTGTACCAGCTGGGCACCAAGGAAGTCGCCTGCACGGAAAAAGTAGCCGTCGCCACCATCGATCCTGCCGACCACGTATGCTGGATTCGGGTGACCATACATGAAACCGAAGCCATCGCCGCAGTCCCCTCCATGCATCAGGCCTTCGAGGATCAGTTCTCGGGAGGTGCCCCCGTGAACGGTGGTCCACGCGCCAAGGGTCCTTTCCGAAGGGACTCCGCTCCACAGGACAAGGCGCGCCAAAACCAAAAGCACAGGGAGTCCAAGAAAGACGCTCGCCGCCAGGAGCTCGATAGTCAGCTCCAGGACACCTTCAAGGCCCTCTTCCACGGCAACTTTAAAGCCGTCACCATCCTCGAACCCTGCAAAAGCCTAGGCAGGTATGGATCGGGCGTCGGAAAGAGGTCCCTGGCTGCCACCTTCGGCGTCAGTCTTCAAGCGGTTGACAAGGTCTTGGCGGGTTCAGGGCAACTCGGCGCCACCTACGACCTCAGCAACGTAGGTGCAGACGAGCCCACTGCAGACAAGTACCAGACCGTGTGGTTCCCTGAGGACCAGCCCATCACGATGGCAGATGCGTTCCAGAAGTCGGTGGACTTCAAGGCCCTAGGAGTCGTCAGGCACGGCAAGTCAGGCTTATTGGGGATCCGTGTTGCACGAGGGTCAGACGCCGCCAAGGCTGCTGCCGTCAGCATCCGCGGCTGTGAAGCCACCCTCGCCAAGACGCGATACCGCATCACTGGCATTGCGGCACGCCACGCCACGCTGACCCAGCTTGCTAAGACTCTCACGGGCCCGTCCGTCAAATGGGACTGTGAGGTCTACCACACCGCCTGGGACCCAGCCACTTCGGCTCAGTTTGCCTTAGTGCGCGCCCATCGTCCCCCACCCACATATACGGTACAGGTCGCAGGGTGCCCCATCCCGTGGAGCATCACCGAGGCCCCGTTGGCTGAGGTGGTGCCGAAGAGGGACAACGTTACCATTGTCACCCCTACCACTATCACAGAGCCTGTGACGCCGCCAGCCCGTGGTGGCGGCTTCAGCCCCGCCACGGGCACACTCCTAACCAAAGCGGCCCAGAGCCCTTACCTCCACGACCTCATGACTGCCACGCCCAAAGGCAAGGGCGTCGCACCGCTCCCGATCCCCAAGGAGGAGCCTCTAGCCAAGCGCCACCGATCCTCCAGTGGGAAACGCGACGCCACGCCGCACGCAAGATCACACGGCGCCCCAGGCCGCAGCTCCTCTGCACCCCCGCACGGCACGGATGGAGCTGCCGAGCAGACGGCCGTCCAAGGACCAGGTGGTCATGACCCGCAACTTGGCACGGTGGCGGCTGAAGGCGGGGGCCACACGGAAGGGGACGCTGCCACAGCCGCCGAGGTACCAGGCGACGCTGACGACGTCGAGATCCTCTCATCAGGGGATGAATTCAGCGTGGCATCTCGCGAACTGAACACCCTCGGCGAACGCTTCGCAACGGCCCCTAAACTGTCAGATGCCGCCACGACCCGCATCCAACACATGGAACAACAGCACGAGCTGCTTGCCAACACGGTGGATAACATGCAGGTTCAGCTTGCGGGCGTTCTCTCATCCCAGGCCACACTCACGGAGCACGTTTCAGGTTTGGAACGAGGGCTTGCCACCGTCGTCACTCAGCAACAGACGGCAACTACCGAAGCTGCTGCACTGCGTGGCGACATCCAGGCCCTCCTCGGGCACCTCACGGGGGGCACCATCCACCTGCCACAGGTGGCCACCCTCGAAACAAAAAAGGAGGAAGCTGCATCAGTTGCCGATCCCGTGGCTGTCTGCGGGTGGATTGACCAGCCAGGCCAGGTCACCCCAGGGACGGGGCCCCCAGGGGCTGACAAAGGCAAAGACAAGGGTCGGGCCACTCAGGAACCCTATTGAAGGTGCCTCAGAGAGCCTGCCTCAGCCCTCCGAGGAAGCGCCTTCAGAGGCATCTCTTCTCTCTTCGCGTCGTATCTCTTTCTTGTCATATCATGTCAGTTTTGGCAGCAGCACGAGCAAGCTATCTGGTGTAGGGACACCTGTCATCTTGCTGTGGGTGTGTTTGTTGCAATGTACATGAGCATGCAGGGGTATCTGAGGATGCGTGCTGACATGCAGCTTTTGGCTCATCGCTCGCGCCGCCCGCCAGGCCTCGCCATCATGTGGCGCCTTGCCTGCAGCCTGGCCCTCCCCTCGCTCGCTGGAGCACACCCGTCTTCAGGCGGTGCGCCCCAGCATGGAGGTGAGGTTCTCCTGCGACACGCTGAACGTGGGACCCTTTTCTACCTCTACGATGACAGCATCTACAAGTACGATCACTGCACCATTTTGGACCCGATCGTGAACAGCACCGTTGCCGCGGGTCCGTGCGGCATAGGCCAGGCACACAGTGGCGGCTTCAGCCCCGCTGTTGTGCCCCGCTATTGCCCTACGGGTCTCACCACTCCCCTGTGCGCTAGGGGCGAACCCGAGGAGGACCCTGCTTTCTGGCACCTGATGATGATCCGCGCCCGGCTCATACCGTGTGCTGCGGCGTGGGCACCAGGTGAGGACAACCAGGACATGTTCTGGGCATGGCTCGAGGACTGCGTCCCGTACATCCTGGCGACGCTTCATCTGCCACAGTACGATCACCTCTTTCAGGAGGATTCTGAGGACACAACCGACGCCCTGCGTCAGCGCACCGCGGTCGACATGTGCGAGGACATCTGGCACAGAGCGGGCCCCGACAGGCAGCGCACCAACCGCAACCTCACTCGTATCCAGAGCAGCCGCGAGTACGCCACCCGCTACTTTGGCCTCCTTCTGGAATACCAGGGCGCTCGTGCCACGCTCGTCGGTCCTGAGGCTTTCACGGCACCTTTGCCGCCATACCTCTCACGGGCCCATGCTCTGCTGCCAAGAGGCCTCCCTCCACCCGACCAAGACGCCATGGCGTACCTCGCCGACGTGATCCTGCACCAACCGCCAGACATGCTGCCGCTCGTCGAGGCGGAGCTCGCCGCGGCGCCGATGGACGGCACCGATCAGGCCGCAGATGATCCCGTATCATGGCTGCTACAGCACATCGCGGCCAGCGATATCGGCAACATATCCATGGACTCGTTCCACGCGTCGGACGATAGCCAGGACGGCATCGATACCCAGGATCGAGACGGCACGACACCACCAGGCGACTCGGCCCAGCGTGACCGCGACAGTGAACCCTACTTTGGGCACACCTCGTTGCACAGCAGTCCGCCCCACAACTCAGCTCAGGCCGACCCCGGCGCACAGCTCAACGACGCTGAAGGCGTCACTGCCGCTGACGCGACAAGCCATTCCACTGCATCGCCAGCTCATGCCAGCCCGTGCAGTGGCGGCTTCAGCCCCGCTGCACCACTGGCTAGACCTGGACATCCCCAGACCGCAGGTGGCAGCACCACGCCCTTCACCTCTGTACACCGTGACAACGTGACTGACTCCAACCCCAGTGCCATTGACCACTGGCAGGCCGACATCGACAACGACCCCATCGATGATGAGTACCCAGATGCCAGCGGTTCCCACGAGCCCCAGCACAGCGCAGCGGCATCACGACATTGTGGCTGCCTCATCTGCCTCTTTGTGGCCACGTACGCCATCGCGATAGCAATGCCGTACAAGGACCAGATCGATGGGTACTTGCCGACACCGAGCCGAGACCCCAGCTACCGACAACGACGACGACGCAAAGCGACGGCACCAGGCCCATCGGTGTCCACCACATCCCGACGCAAAACGACATACAATGTCACGTCCACATTGTGGGCCACTCTCAAATGGACCAG